ATTCATTGTTGCACTTTTCTCCCTGCCCACCCCTCCCCCAGTACACTCTTCTTTTTGAAAAGTAAAAGAAAAATTCTTTCATTGTTATATAATCCCTCCCCCCAGGTCCACTCCGCTATTCAGCCTTCGTTCTGGACTCCTGTCATGACAATAATACTTAATCACGTACCCCTTTTAAACAGTTTTCTCCCTCATCTGTTTAGATACAGTATATGTTATTTATCCCATCTTTCTCAGTCTCCCCCCAACCCCAATGTCAGTCCCATTTTACAACAGTGGCACTATGCAGTGTTTGCCCCTTTGTGACTGAGATATTTCACTCAGCTTAATGTCCTCCAGGGTCACCCATTTTGAATAATATTGCATGAGTTCCTTGTTTTTCAATGCAACGTAGTATTCCATTGTGTGACTATACGATAGCTTCTCTATCTATTCATTTGTTGATGGGCTTTTAGGTTGTTTCCAGCTCCTTGCTATCGTGAACAAAGCAGTAATAAACATGGGTGTGCATGTTTTTTCATTTAATTACTTTGCATAGTCTCATTTGAGATAATTGGTGTAAGAATCTTGAATATTTTTTAATATTTGGAGATACTAAATAAATACGGAAGTAAAAAATCATACATATCTGATGAATTCTCACTTTTCAGAACTGTCAACCCTAATTCTTTTCCCGATAATCACTTAACAGAGGAGATTCCCTTATTATATAATAATGGATAATGGTTGGACTAGAATAACATTAGTTTTTTTCCTCTTTAGTATTTTATTTGAGTGAAACTTTACAAATTATTTGTTTTCTTTCAATCATCCTCATATACTTTATTTTAAAACATTGATTAATGTAATAGATTACATTGTCTCATCAAACTCTTAAAGGCATTCATTTTTATATTAAATAATTACCAAAGTATTCCTTGAATCAAACAAAGACAAAACTGAAGCCAATTATTGAAATTTTGAATTTCTAAACCAATCTTACTTAAACATTAGATTTCTTTCACAAGTCCTTGCTTTAATGATTTCAGAGTTTGCTGTATAGATTTTGCAAACATGGTCCATATTCTGAGTTAGACACTAATGAGAAGCATACTAAATAAAGGATTTTCTAAAATTTCACAAAGTGGAGAAACAACAAAATAATGCCAGTAGTGAAATGCTTTCCAATACTGCAACACAATGCAGTACTTCTGAAGGAGTTCATATAAACTGAGCTATGACTTTCTCAGTCCGTGGGGCAACTGGCATGGCTTGATGCTGCCAAAGGGGGAATTGTTGGAGGCAATGGTTTTGTCTTCTTTTATCTTCTGTATCATTTTCTACACTGTTATTGTTATGTGCCATTGAGTTGCTTGCGAATCTGTTAGATAATAATATCCTGAGCTGTTCTGTGCTGCCTGTATTCTTCGACTTGCAAAAGAAATTAGAACCATAATTCCATATCTTTAAAAAAATGTAACTTTTGTCTCATTTCCAGCTCTTCTGCGCCGTGCCACCACATACAAAAATCAAAACAAGCTTCAGGAAGCTGTGGAAGATTTGAGGAAAGTACTAGAGGTGGAACCTGATAATGATTTGGCTAAAGTAAGTACAGGAAGTAATTTCTCACCTTTACTATAGTTTGTTGCTTCTGTATTTATGTTGAATTTATGTAAGAGTTACTGATTACTGAATAAATTTTATTGGAAATTGGGCAACAACTAGACTCTCAAAATATTGGTTTCTAATTTAAGTGGAAGGAAATAGACTGTTAAAAATGGTCAAACCCCATAAACCTATATCCAAGGACAAATAATTTTTTTCCTTTACAGTAGTCAGTTGTGGGCAATACTATTCTCTGGGCTAATCTTGATTTATTATGTAGAGTGGTATGGAAGTTTAGATTAGGTCTGAGCTCTGTAACCATACCATAGTGTTTCTCTTTGTAACATTGGCTCACATGGTAGGCATGGGACTGTTGGCAGAAGTTATTATTGACTGAGCCGATTAAGTTAGATACTTAGGGAGTTATGTATTAAAATTTACATGTGTTAAGAACTGTAAGTATCTGAATGTTACCCTATTTACAAATTACCTAGCTAGTCTGGTAAAAGATATGGGTTAGAGACACGACCTTTGTATGCACAGCATCACAAACAGAAAAGCTTCATGTTTCGTCAGTGTCCCTTGCTGCCTCATCCCACAGAGGTGACACAGAGTGGCCCAAATAGATGCTGCATATTCTGTCATTATGTGTCACAGCTTAGGACCCTCAAGCTTTAGGGCACCCCATCTTTCAGAGTGGGCTGTACAACAAACCTGTCCAACCTCTGCTCTAAAGAAAGACTTTATCTTTCTTTTATTGGAGAACAAAGAAATCCACCCTCTGTAAAGGGAGAGACTATCTCAATTTTCTGAAACTGTTTTATGTAAAAACATCCTTGAACAGATTGTCCAGGATAGAGTCCAGACTATCTGCTCCCAATCATATTCATAAATATGAAAGACTATGGACAATAGTATTTGGAAGCAGGAGTGGCATCCTCTTCCAAAATGGCTTGCCTCTGGAAACTCCATGAACAAACCACTCGAACAACAACAACAACAACATGGACAATAGTCTTTCAACAATTACTAGTTGTTACATTTACAAAGATACCTGTTGGGTTCTTTCTCTATCTTTCCTTCTTCCTTCTCCCTACTCCCACAGCTTCTCCTGCTCACCCCACTTCCTCCTTTTCTTCTCCTTTCCCCTATATCCTCTCTCTCAAGGATGGCAGCATCTGAACCCCCAATAAATTCACAAGGGGGAAGAACTCCCCTCCACCACAGTACAAAACCAATTCCTATGAGATCAGATATGCCCCACACTCCCACACCTCCTATCAGTTCTAACATCAACCATGCCCTGCTGGGGCTTTCCCTGATCCCACCCTTTGCAAAGGCTACACAGACTCACAGACAATACTAAGGATTATGCAGCTTATTAGGGATGTTCAATAGGTTATAACTAAGGCTGGAAATAGGATGCAATTGTTCACTAGGACAGCTTCTCAGGCATACTCACAGGTCCTCTTCCTACAGCTTCAGGGCTTTAGGCAGTGTTACATAGCTCTTTTAGTCTTGCTGGTTATTCTTCCCCCTAGCCCTCTGGTAAGCCTGGGTGAAGGCCTTTAACTCTGTCTCGGTGGGTGACAGTGCTACTTCAACTGTGTCTCACATTGATCTCTGGTTCTCCATCACCTCTGCTGCTGCCCCTGGTCTCAGTGTGTCTTGCACAGGAATCATTGGCCCCAAAGGGCAAGATGCACCCTCCACTTCTTTCTTGTTTCTTATTGGCAGTGAAATTCTTATTCTCTGCCTCTCAGCCTGCTCAATTTAGATGTGATATTGTTGTTGTTAGGGGCTGTCGAGTTGAGGATGACTCATAGCAACCCTATGAACAGCAGACCTGAATGCTGACCTATCCTGTACCCTCGTCACAATCTCTGACATACTCAAACCCGTTGCTGCAGTCACCACATCAATTCACTCTGGTGAGGGTCTTCCTTTCTTTTGCCCCTTTTCCAAGTATGATGGGCCTCTCCAAGGATGATAGGGTGGCAAAACTGACCTATCTCCTTCTAAGTAGTCTATACACTTTATTTGCATATTCACACCAGTAATATATTATTTACCTTATTCACATTATTAACATAGTTCCACCCCACCAACAACAACCCAGTCATGTGGTGAGAAAGTCAAAGTCAATGTCTGGGAAAACCATTTTGAACAATCTCTCTACTGAGCCACACCTCCACTTCCCTCTTACCCTCTCTCTGCTTCTTCTCTCCATCTCCCTTACTCAACAATTAATATCGCTAGAGTATCAGCTATATTTGTCAAGTCAGCATATCAGTGGAATAAGCTTAGGACCTGGTTTTAAAGCACATCTTTTTCCTATATTATTTCCTTTAATAAAAATGGTTTTTAAATGAAAAAGCTAATGTAGCAATATTATTTTTATATGTATGCAGTGATAGTCTTTTTGGGGGTTTTTATTGCCCCAAATGAGAGTTTTAATGAAAGTTTACAGAAAAGTTAGATTTTCATTCATTCATTGTTACACATGTAACAATATCCCTAGGAAACATTTTAAAGTGAAAAAAATTATCTTAATTTTACTGCTTAAAGTAATATTTTGTTTAGATATTAGTTTGCTGATAGATTTAACTTTATAGAGCAATTATAAGAGTTTTTTAAATTTTTAATTTTTTTATTTAAGTCTTTTTTATTGGTTTGCATACAATAATTCATATACATTGTGTTTCATTCATGTACATTGTGTTTAATACAATGTTTCATTTACATTGTGTTTAATGTATTCATTCATATATATTTTATTATACAGAATTAATTACTATGAATTAATAGTAAAAATATAGCCTTTTAAATAAAATTTTTATTTTATAGTAGTTTACTTAAAAAGTTTGTATACATTGTTTTTTACACTCATCAAATTGTGCAACCCTGTGATTAGCCACCACCCAACCCCTACCCATCCTCACTCTTCTGCTCCTACCCTTCCCCTCTTGGATCCTCATACACGTTCTACAACAAAAGCCTTATACAACAGTGTTTGTCCTTATGGGACTGAGTTAGTTCACTCAGCATAATGCTCTCCAGTCCCTCCCAAGTTAGGTAGTGATTTACAGAATCATTGCTCCTGCATGATGCGTAGTATTCCATCGTGTTACTATACCATAATTTCTCAATCCATTCGATTGTTATTGGACGTTTGTGCTGTTTCCATGTTCTTTCAGTGGTGATTGGTGCTGGTATGAACATTGGTGTACAAAAGCAGTTATAAGTTTACTGGTAAGTTTAGCAGAAAATTTCCACCTGTCTTCCCCCACACCCAAACTCCAGGTTTCTCATTATTAAGGTTTTGCATTGGTACGATACATTTTTAAAATAATTGCAGAAACAGTATTGACCAATATTATGAACTAAAGTCTGTAGTTTGTATTGTTGTTGTGTGTCGTTGAGTTAGAAGCGATTCATAGCTGACTCTCCTGCTGGTTTTTAGAGGCTATAAAACACAGGAGGAGATTGCCCATGCTTCTGCAAAACAACTGGTGGATTCAAACCCTTGGCCTTTGGGATTGCAGTGCAGCTTCTTACCACTAGGCCACCAGACTCCTTTTTCATTTAGCAGTGTGCTTTTAAGCTTCCTCCATGTTTTTTCATGGCTTGATAGTTGTTTTTTTAAAATCATGAATAAAAAATCTATTTAGATCACCTGTTGATGGACATCTTTTTTATTGCCTTCAATTCTTGACAGTGGTGAATAAAGGTGCTGTAAATATTTCTGGTCAGGTTATTAAGTGGGCATAATTTTTACCTCACTTGGATAATTACTAAGGAACATAATTATTGGGTTAGATGGTAAGATTTTCTTTACTTCGTGAGAAACTACAACATTGTCTTACAAAGTGGCTGTCCATTTTATATTTCCATCAGGAATGAATGAGAGTTCCTGTTATTTCAGATGTTGCCAGCATTTGCTATTGTAAACGTTCTAGATATATGCTACTCTAATGTGTGTGCAATGGTATCTCATTGTTGTTTTAATTTGCAATTCCCAAGCGACATTGTGCTATCAATTATCTTTTTGTCTGCTTACTTATTGTCTGTATATTTGATGAAGTTATTTGTTCGGGTCTTTTACTAATTTTTTAATTGAGTTGTTTCTTTTCTTATCTTTGCTTTAAAAGTTCTTTGTGTATTTTTATATAAATTCTTTATCAGATGTGTGTTTTGCAAACAATGCATTCTAGTCTGTGACTTGTTCTTTTCATTCTCCTAAAAGTGCCTTTTGCAGAAAGTTTTTCATTTTGGGAAAAGCTGATTTATCCATTTTTATCCTGCATATTTTGGTGTTATATGTATAGTCATTACCGAACCTCAGCTTATCTTGAGCGCCTGTATTATTTTCTAGAAGTTTTACAGTTTTGAGACCTACAAGCTATAGTGTTTTACATGTAAGTCTATATTTTTAGTTAGTTTTTGTGAAAGTATAAGATCTGTATCTATTTTCAACTTTTTTTTCAAATGGATGTCTAGTTGTTTCAGTAACATTTGTGGAAGAAGATTCTTTATAGAATTGCTTGTTTTTTTCTTTTTTTCAAAGATTTAACTGGACATGTGTCAGTCTCTTTCTGTATTCTGTTCCATTTCCTTAGTCTGACTCTGTTCTTTCATTGTTGTGAACACTGTACCTTTATGGTACGTGTGACAGTTGGACAGTGTTGGTATTCAACTTTGTTTGCTTTTCTTCCTTTTATATTCTTGCTGTACTTCCCCACCCCCCATTACAATGGAGCACATAAAATTAAAATCTGGTAGCACTGAGGTTGTTTTTTCTGTACTTCTGCTAAAAGTAACAGTTCTTATTTTACTAAAGGAAAACATTTTGTTTAATATCATGATGATTACATTACAGAAAAACTTGTTAGAGGTTGAAGGAGAGCTGAAAAATGCCAAACCTACGTCTAAGACACAAACCAAAGGGAAAAGGATGCTTATCCAGGAAGTGGAAAACTCTGATGATGAAGACAGAAGGGACAGTGGAAGAAAGCTGGAAGAAGGCAATGGAGATGCAAGTAAGACAGATTTTCTATTCTTGTTATGCCCCAATCCGTCTTTTTATATGATGCATTGGCTTCATTTTTGTTTCTACAGATATTCTTAATTACCAAACTTTTCCTAGTTTTACTGTTCAATGTGCCTAGAATTTGGGTTCATTCTTCTATTAATGTCTTTGGAGCATACCTTAGCTGCTTTCTTTTTCACATGATACTTCTTCCTCATTGTTCTTGTCACGTGCTGTTGAATTGACTAAGACTCAAAGCGACTCTATGAACAACTCTTCCTAGTGCTCACTTTAATGCCTGATTATCACCTTTAATATAAATGGTTGTGTCTATGTGACACTAATCATTTACAAGTTAATCATAAATATTTCTCTTAGATGATTATTTTTGTTAATAAATTGGCTAAAATGGATGTGGTTAGTACCATCTCTCTGCTAAAAATTAATGCATTGTTGGAAAGTTGTTATTTATGCTTTTCAAAATATTAGATTTTAAAAATATACACAAGATGCAAGTATAATATCACTTTTGAAATACTAATTTTTGTCATCAAGTCAGAATTGACCCTCCAGTGGGTTTTCAAAGGCAGTTAATCATGGCATGGGAGAGACTGCCCATCTTTTCCCCACAGAGAAGCTGGTGCATTTGAACTGTGGACCTTTGGGATTGCAGCACAGCTTCTCACCACTAGGCCACCAGAGCTCCTGAAAGACTTTTTTCTTAAAAAAAAATCTAGACTAGATAAAAGTTCTTCGTAGTATAAAACATGGATAGTTATGCCCACTCTGAGGGAAAATTTCTACTTACTGGCTTGACTCAGCTCAACTCAATTCATTGCCTTTATGTTGGAACCAACTCATAGGCAGCCTTCATTTGGTTTCTGAGGCTGTAAATTGCATGGAAAGAGATAATCCATCTTTCTCCCAAGGAGCCACCAGTCGATTCAAACTGCCAGAGAGGTGTCTGACCGTGACAACTTGGTGGCTGCTGCAGCTGCTGTGAGGTTGCATAGACAGTGGAACAAAAATACCAGGGGATTTACCCTCATTCTCTCTCCCATAGGGATCTGCTTTGTCCTTGTGGACAAGTAATAGATAGATAACTCCTCTGTACACTTTTCCTGTCTGCACCTGATGCTCAGTTCTAGGTTTTGGATTGCCTTTTAAGTCCAGCCAGATGATCCTGGAAAAAAAGAAATGAGAAATTCCTCACTAGTTTGGTGGTAGTTCAATTTCTGGTCTCTCTTTCTAACGTGCTTAGTACCATTTGCTCCTAATTTTTTCATGTAGCTACTCCATGAATTATATTCCAGATTTGTAGTTGTGTTTTTTCGGGAGAGACAAGGCAAAAGGCCTTATCATCACTTTTTTTTAAAAAAAAATGATAAGCATATTTTAAGAACTATGGAAAAACATAGGTTATTTTATTTAATCCTCAAAGATGCTACAGCTATCCACACTTTTATGTTAGGTAATAGAGACCTAGAAACCTTCAGTTGTTGTTATGTGTCGTCGAGTCGCTTGTGACTCATAGCAGCCCTAAACCCTGCTCTATACTCTGCCAATCACACTGCCTCTGACACACCCATCCCGATTACCCCAGTCACTGAATCAATCCACCTCACAGAGGGTCTTCCCCTCCTGCGCTGTCCCCCCTACTCTACCAAGCATGATGTCCCTCTCCAAGGACCTGTCTCTCCTTACAACATGTCCAAAGTATGTCAGATGAAGCCCCAGAATCCTTGCCTCTAAGGAGCAACCTGCTTTAACGCTCTCTAGGATGAATCTGTTTGTTTCCCTAGCAGTCCATGGCATATTCAATATTCTTCTCCAGCACCACAGCTCAAAGGCATCCATTCTCCTTCTATCCTCCCTAGTCATTGTCCAACTCTCCGATGCATAACAAGTGATTGCGAAGACCATGGCCTATATCAGACACACTTTAGTCTCCAGAGTGACACCATTGCTCTTCAGTACCCCGGAGAGGTCCCTAACAGCAGACTTTCCCATTGCAATAAGTCTTTTAATTTCCTGGCTGCTGGTGCCAAGAGTGTTGACCATGGAGCCAAGCAAACTAAAGTTGTTAGCAATCTCAATCTCTTCACCATCTATCCTGATGCTGCCAATTGGTCCAGTGGTGAGAATCTTTGTCTTCTTGACATTGAGCCTCAGTCCAACTGAAGGCTGCAGTTAGCTCAAGTTCTAAGTCCTATAGATGAGCTGCAACCCTAAATCTGTGTGACTATAAATTCTACCTTTGATTAATGGGTACCATGTTGTTGTCCACCAGGTTGAACATCACTAGGTTACACTGTTAAATATGATATAAATTTTGTATTTACTGATTTTGCACTAAGAACTCTTCCTCAGGAGCTAAGGCTATGTTGAGGAGCAAGTAACTTAGTTAAAGGTGAGACTAACTATTTCAGAATCCAAAAGATCCTCCTCTAAAAGAAATATTGTTGTTGTTGTCGTTATGTGCTGTCGAGTTGCTTGCGACTCATAGCGACCCTATGTTCAACAGCTCTAAACTCTTCTCTATCCTGAGCCAACCTTATTGTCTTGAACACACCTACTCCATAACTCCAGTTACTGAGTCAATCCATCTCATCGATGGTCTTCCCCTCCTGCACTGTCCCTCCACCCTCCCAAGCATAATGTCCCTCTCCAAGGATATAATGACTCACAATTATTGTGTACCTATGCATCTGAATAAGGATTACAAAAGAAGAAATGATGCCTTGGAGTGTGGTGTTAGAGGAGAGGACCGAATATCCTATGGACAGCCTAAAGAACAGATATGTCTTTGAGAAAATGCAGCCATAATGCTTCTTGGAGGCAAAGATGGTGAAGCTTTGTCTCACATACTTTGGGCATATTGCTCAGAGAGGTGATTCTTTGGAAAGGGACATCATGCTTGGAGGGTCAGAGAAAGAGAGGATGACTCTCAAAGAGAGAAATTGGCACAGTGACTATGGCAGTGGGCTCAAGTATGTCAAAGATGATAAGGATTGCACAAGATAGGACAGGGTTCAGATCTGTTATTTATAGGGTTGCTTTGAGTTGTACTTAAGGGCACAACAACCACCCACACCTACTCTGTCTCAGGTACTGAGATAATTGATAGGCTTTCTTCATTCTAGCCTATGGATTAACATTTAAAAATCCCTGTGTATTCTTTTGTTGTTGTTATGTGCCATAGAGTCACTTGATACTCATAGCGACCCTGTGTACAACAGCTCTGAATCCTGCTCTATCCTGTGCCAACCTTATTATTTGTTTGGCTTATTATATCACCTGATTGGTGCCTTTCCTTAGAAGCTCTTCATCTATTTCTACTTAGAAGTAGCCTTTATCATCAGATAAAGTAGCCATCAGAGACTTTGGCATGTATTCCAAACAATGGAAATTATCTTCTTACTGAGTCTGTGAGACTCAGTAGGAAATAAGATAGTGCTATCATTATTTTTCTCTATTTAAAAATGAAATGTAAGAAAACTAAAGCTATTCACAGAAGAATAAAATATAAATATTTTGTCCTAGAATTTGTAAGGAGTCCTGATGAAAGAGTGGATTATGTGTGAGGGGTCAGTGGTTCAAATCCAGCAACTGCTCCATAGGAAGCTGATGAGGTAGTCTAATGCCATTAAGGCTATGGCATCAGAAACCTGAAGGAGGGTCACAAGGAGTTGAAATTGATTGAACAGCACAGTATTGGTTAGGTTTTTTTAAAAATTGATATGGTTAGGTAGGATGGGGATTCCTAAGACTTAAAAGACAAACTAATGAAGAAAATTTCAGGTGAAAGATTTCGATTGTATAAGGGAAGGAAATTTGGTCTTTGCTTTAAATGAGGGTGAATCACGGAGGACAAACACTTCTCTGCCTTGTCTTTTATTTCTTCTTACAAAGGAGATTCTGATTAATAAACTTTGGAGAAATAAAAGACCTATTTAGTTCATTAAGCCTCTCCTTGGAGGCTAGGATTTTGAAGCTCCGTCTTACTTACTTTGGGCACATGGCCAGGAGAAATCAGTCCTTGGAGAAGGAAATCATGCTCGGAAGTGTGGTCGGACAGCTTAGGAGAGGGAAACCCTGGATGAGATGGATTGATCCAGTAACTGGGGTAATGGGTGTTGGTGTGTCAGAATGAGTGAGACTGGCTCAGGATAGGGAAGGGTTCAGAGATGCTGTACACAACATCACAGGCAACTCAATGGCACATAACAACAATAACATACTATGACAGCTTTGGAAGCAGGAGTGGCATCCACTTCCTAAATAACATGCCTGTGGAAACTCTATGAACTTTGATAACAGCTTTGATAGTTGTAGAGGGTCTTCAGGCCTTTTGTTCATAGTGTTGCTATGAGTCATGTTTGACTTGAAGGCAATTAACAACAATGACAAAAATGAAAAGAGCTCCAACTCTCAGGCAACATAAAATTCAAAGGCAAATGAGAACTAGGGGGGAATGGCAGGAGTTGGTAATCTTTGTTATTGTTGTATGTACTGTAACAACCACCGGAGCCGACTCATAGCTGACCCTCTAGCATATTTTCAGAGGCACTAAATTGCATGGGAGAAGATTGCCTATCCTTCTCCTACAGAGCATCTTGTGGATCCAAACTGTGTGCCTTTGGGCTGGCAGCACAATTCCTTACTTCTAAGCCACCAGAGCTCTCTTTGTAATATGAAGAGTTTGTTTAAGATAAGAAAAAGATGAAGAAACAAAGAAAAAGATGAAGAACTTAATACAATTAAGACATTTGTAAAGAGAATATATAATGAAAAATAGAAGGAATATTACATTCCATTTTTTCCCATGCCATCATATTGGCCAAGTTGGAAGAAAAACAACACATCTCAAAAAACTATCTGCTGGCAGCTCAACTCATTACCCAGAGCCAGACAGATCAAATCTCCTCCTCAGCAGAAAGATGAGCAGTCATCACCAGTGAGATAGCTTCTGAAAATCTGCTGGAAGGTCAGTTATGAATTGGTTCTAACTTAATGTTAATAAGACAGCATAAAAGAAAAACTTATTGTACGTGTTACATACACTTGCCAGCAGATCCACAAGATGCTCTGTAGGAGAAGGATAGGCAATCTTCTCCCATGCAATTTAGTGCCTCTGAAAATATGCTAGAGGGTCAGCTATGAGTCGGCTCCGGTGGTTGTTACAGTACATACAACAATAACAAAGATTACCAACTCCTGCCATTCCCCCCTAGTTCTCATTTGCCTTTGAACTTTTATGTTGCCTGAGAGTTGGAGCTCTTTTTCATTTTTGTCATTGTTGTTAGTTGCCTTCAAGCCGAGCATGACTCATAGCAACACTATGAACATTTTTACTCTGAGACAGATTTTTAACATTGAAAGAAAAAAAATTCATCTTTTTTTCTTGTGGCATCCTTTTCAAAATTAGTTTACCACCACTAGCAGACACTAAGGGGGAGTTCTAATTGCTTTGTGAGTAGGGAGTTGGCTGCCAACTCAAAGGCACCTGGTTTGAACCCATCAGCTGTGGGGGGAGGGATAATCCCTTCCAGTACAATTTACAGCCTCTGAAGGCCCTCTACAACTATTACACTAGAAGGTAAGGTATGAGTTGGTTTCAGTTCAGCAGCGCTTGACAAAAACGACAGGAACTCAGTGATCCTAAACCAAATGCTTCATTCAAACCCCAGACCCTTGGTAACCACACAAACACAATGGTCTTGTACACACTTAACCTATTTCATGTAAGTGGGAGTACAGAGTATTTGTCCATTTGTGACTTCATTCAACACGATATTTTCAAGGTTCATTCATGTTACAGCGTGCATTAAAATTCCATTTTTTTTTTAATCTCATTGTATGGTTTTACAGTGTTTTACAGTTAGCCTACAGTTGGTATGTTGTTTGCATTTTTTGGCTATTATTAATGTTATTGTTGTTGTTGGGTACCACTGAGTCAGAATCAACCTTTAACAACTGACCCTCCAATGAGTTTCCATTAGCAGGAGGAGATTGTTCATCCTTCTTCTGCAGAGAAGCTGGTGGATTTGAATCGAATATCTTTCTATTCCTTACCACAAAGCCCCCGGAGCTCCCTACTGTTATGAATAATGCTGTAATAAGCCCTAATGGGTATATAAATGGGCCCAGTCTTTCAGCACAGTGATCCTGCAATAATAACTCAGTAATTTACACGTTAAAATCCTCTTTTAACATATACCTAAGCAATTTTATTCTTAAGAATTCTACCCAGAAAACAGGGATTATTTACTTTTATATGATAAAAATTATAAGATACAACAATCTCTAAGAGTTGGTAATTCAGATTAGATATTTCATAGAGCCAATTTTGCCTCATAGAAAACTGTTAATAGGGGGTTGGATGGTTTTGGGTGTTTTTTAGATTGTACAGTTTGTCCTAAAGGTAATCATTTACTGATTTTCATTTAGATAATGTAGTTTTCTGTTTCCCTCTGTCTTTGTGCTTCAAATTCTGGCTCTTAACCAATTAGGAAACAGAAGGAAAATAGATGCATGAGAAACAAGATTAAATAAAAATAGGTTAACAGAGAAGGTTTGGCAGGCTTTCTACTTAAGTGCATTTTCACAGTATATTGACATGATTTTTTTTTAAGTGTAATTTCCATTTTATTTTCAGACGAGTTTTTTCTTCAGCCTTTTAGGGAATCAAATCCTTACATGGGCTTTGGTGGTGGTCGTGGGGCAGCACCTGCAGGTCTAAATCTAGGTGGAGGTGTCCAGTCCTTTCGGGCTTCACGAGAACGGTTCCTCACCACCTTGCTGTGAATGGCACAACTCACACAGTAGTGCAGTTTCACATAGAGCTTTGGAAGCACATAGGCGTCGAAAACACTCGCTTCGGAAATGTCCCTGACAGCAGCTGCCTCTACCATATTTCGGATTACGAACTTCTTAATTGCCTTGTCTTTGGGCACGCACCGGGCGCAATTCGTGCAGCGAATAGGCTGCACATGGCCGCGGCCCTTTTTGGCACGACCGTTGTTTCTCCTTTTCTTCGTCATGTTGGAGCGAGGGTCCGAGAGCTATACTGACGTGATTTATTGCTTTCTTTTAAATATTAAGATACCCATTAACAATATTTATACATCATTTTCATGTTGAAAAAAAAATTTAGTTAATACCGGAAATATCTCCATCAAGATCACAGGGGTTTTTAAATTTGAATAAATGTTGAAACAAAAATGTTAGAATGTGTTAAGGATCACCTTAGGCTTAAAGATCTAGTGTCCTGGTCCATAAGGATTTCCTCTGCCAACATACAGGTAAGAGGTTTGAATCCACCAGCGCTCCGTGGGATAAAGATAGGCACATTCCTCCAGTGGGATTTATCACCTCTGAAAACCACTGAAGGGTCTGCTATCAGTTACGAGTCGGTTCTGACTCATAGTTAGAATGTGAGTTAAGTTTTAAAAAAATAGATGCTAATTTTATGTAAACTTCTTAGCGACATTAATTTTTAAGACTTAAGAATGACTTAGACTTTACCTTTCTATCAAATTATTAATCCTAGTCTTGTTTAATATGGAAAAATCACACTCATTTGGCATCCAATCATTATATTCATCAAGTTCTTGTGACTTCTTGTTTACTTCATGTATTTTAGTCATTCATTCATCCATAAATTGTAATTAAAAGGAAAGAAAAGGACAGGTTCAATTTTAAGTGAAAATTTTACAGTTTTGCTAAATTGTACCAAAATCCCAAGTTTTACTAGCGCTATCTAGTAACGCAAGAAAGGTATGATTTGATGAAGAGGTAGAGAGAGCTCCAGGAAATGATTTTTGAAATGCCAGTTTCCACGTGAGAATCCCTTCAGCGTGTAAAGACTGATATATACGGAGTTGGCTTCGGTCCCTAGCCCTGGAAGCGTGTCCTCGGGAAGCCACCGGGGTGCGGGGCACCGGGACCCGCGCGGCCGCTGTGAGAAAGGCTGGGAACCCCGCAGGACTTGAACCCTCAGGACTCCGCCCGCGGGGGCGGCGCCCGCCGGGCTTCCTCGGCGAAACCGCGCCTCTGCGCCGGGCTCCCCCGCGGGCTCGGCGTAGTCTCTCCCGATGATGCAAACCCTCACTTCCCGCATCCACTTCCCCACAGAGGCGGCGGAGCAGGCGGGCGCCAGGGAGCCGTGCGCCATGGGCAACATCCAGAAGAAGTTCACCGGCAGAGGCGAGGGCGGCCGGCGGCCGGGACGGTCGGGGCCCGGCGCCGACAACAAGCAGGGCCGGCCGCGGGCCTCCGAGACAGGGGGCGGCGCCAACGGGCA